TTAGTATATTAAAATATTCAAGTTAAATAAGCTTTAAAGTTTCCCATATATCTTAAAAGTACACAACCTCTCAGGCTGCCTCAGGAATGCATTATTTATAATTGTAGCCTGATCGAAACTAAGGGGAGTTTTGCCACTGACATCAGTGGATCTGCAATGTCAGTCTGTGTTATTTCACTTGATCTTCACAATTTAGAAGCATTCTGTAGCAAAGTCTATACTGTGGCTGAGTCTGTAAGCCCTCCAAAGTTGTATTTACATTTACATTAACTTTAAGCATACAGGTTTGGTGAATGCAGGTTTTTTTTACATTATTAGTTTTAAGGCATGTGAAGGTTCAGTGCTTGATTTTTGCTTTCAACAGATAAGAGAACAAACTGAAATAATACAAAATAAGTCCCAGCATATACCACATCCCTTCATAACATAAGGAAAAATCCACACATCTGCTTTAGAAAGAGGCTGCTGGCTTATATCATTTATTGCCAAAGCTGTGCAAGGAACTGGGTATTAAATTCAGTATCCTGCCTTCCTCCTCTCTGCATCTTGACATCTGTAAACATCTGCTAAGAATGGTGTTCATTGTTGGCAGAAAGTCTCATAAAATACTTGTTTGGGAAGATCATCAACACTTTTGCCTTCTTGGAAAAATAAAATGGTAATGGTGTATGGAAAAAGTGAAGAGCTAGTCTTGTGATTTCTGACTTTCGGAGCATGATGCTCTGTTCCAGAAATCAAAGGAGAGGGGCGTAATTCAGAGTCAGTTTCAAAACACAATAAGTAGCAAATAGAGCTCTAATACCCATTGCTGTGTCATGACTGTCAGATTTCTCTTCTCAAATTTGATTTTCAACGGATAGAAACGGTTGCTTCAAGCCGTTAATTGTATATCAAGTAACTCCTCCCCTATTTCAGATGTTCACACCTCTGATAAAAAAAAGTGTGAACCACAAGGGAGAGATATCCTGCTGTTTAGTGTTTCATTTAATCTGTAAAGGTAAGGTTTTGTGTAAAATATGCACATTTTTTCAT